GTGTGGATGGATGGCCTCTTGCTCACTTTGGCTCATGCTTGCCAGTGCGTGCACACAGCACTAGCCCTTAAAATATCATCTTAAATCTTGCTGAGCGACTGCCCTCTGAGCTGACACTTAAAGATACAAGACGGCCAGATGCCCTAGTTAGAATCACTGCCTGCTCTTCTCAGTCATAGGGCCTGACTGACACAGAGCCAGGCTGAGGCTATACTCTGTATTCTGCACAGCCCTCAAACCCTAGTTACAGCTGATTTTATTTTTTTGTTCAGAGCTTAGTGAGAAAATGAGCATCATGAGAGAGCCAAACTAAACCAACATTGGCCAACATTAATGCTAATATCACAGCTTGTCACATAGTATTTTGGGTTGTTTCTTATTTTCTGACATCCCCATTGTAGCCTTTTTTGATGTCAGTCAAATGCAGGAAAACATGCTGGTGTTTTCACCAGACTGATTCAGATATGTTGTCTACCTGAAGGTGATGACAGGCGTCCTCTCTCTTTATTCACTCCTGCCCTCTCTCCTCACAGTCACCCCCTAGTGTTCAATTCTGTCCCAGCCAGAGTGCACGGTACAACATGCTGCACCTGTAACACTTCATATGGATCCGTCTGCGCTCATCATCATTTTTATTAGCAATAGAGTAGGAATGGCTGTCTGTGCTGAACCTGATTAAATAAGGAAGTCAATTAGCTGACTGCATAATAGCGAGCAAAGCCTGTCTTTGTTAAAGCCTGTTGGATTGGAGTTGATTGGGAGTGCAGCAGGGCTGTGGTGGTGGTGAGACACATCCCTGCTACAGCTGGATCAGTTGGTTAATTGTATCCAGTGCACTAATTGCTGTATTTGCACATAATTAGCTTGGTTTAAAGATTATTGTGTGTGTGTGTGTGTGTGTGTGTGTGTGTGTGTGTGTGTGTGTGTGTGTGTGTGTCTGTGTTTGAGAGTGAGTGTGTTTTTCAAAGGAAGGAGCGAAGGAAACAGGGTGTTTGCATGTGTACATGTTTTCTGTTTGTCTGTCTTTGTGATCATAGTCCTTTGAGCTTTATGTGTGTTAACTATAAATATCTCATGCACACACACACTGCTAGCAGCGTTGTATTTTCGGAGGTCAGTGCAGTTGTTAGACTTGAACTTTGCTTACTACTTCTTTTTACATTTGGGGCTTATTGCATGGTTAACCTTGAGGATGCAGCAATATCCATGTCTGTATCACACTGTGATGTGTTTTTAAGGTGAAATAGAAAAGAGAAAGGTGATTATAAAGGTGAATAAGTGATTTTCAGTAGCTGTTAGTATAATTCAATCATTTTGTTACATTAACATTGCAACTGAAGTGCAGGTTTTTCTACTGTGAGCTTGTACCATCTTGTTTCTCCCTGTGCAGTTCTTCTGTCTGGCTCAGTAAGGCTGTCTGGTCACAGTGGAGTAAACCAGACTGTAGTAATAATTCTCCGTTAGACTTTGAACAGCTTCTCTAGAGGGCACCGTGCTCGACCCAGCTACTGTTACTCTTGGCCCTGAATAAAGGATCATTAATGCATGGTGCTGTATTTAATTGGTTGAGGAAGCATTGCTGTGCATCATGTCTCTTTTCATTTATCAACCCTGCCACTGCCTCATAGTTCAGCGTGGCTGCAAACCGGCCTGTAGCTGTAGGCCTAATTAGCGGGGCCTAATCTTTTCACACCTAGACTTCACGGTGCCATCTATGTATCATTAACAAAGTATGAGATCTGGTGAGAAGAGGCATCTGTGATGTTTTTATTTCTGTGAGAAACATTGTAGACCAGGCCTTTTCTAAGTAAACAGCACTGAGGAGCGTTTTCAAGGAGGTGTGAAAAGCAAGGCAAAGGTTTAACCAAGGTGGTGAAAGTGATGAGACTTTGTTTATCAGGCATTAGGTTTATTTATGTCATCCATGTGATTTTGTGGTGGAGTTATAGAGAGGGCACTGATTTGTGTTGGTTTGACATCCAACACTGTGCATTCAGTGTTTCCACCTACAGGAGTCTAGATTCTTTTGACATGATGATTGATCAAAACACAGCATTCATGCCCAGCCTTATACATAAGAAAAATAACTTTGCTGATCAGCTGTTAATTTAAGTGTTGAACTGTGTTGTAGCTAACTCTCAAGTGTTGGAAGTCAGTCCACCGCATACAGATCTAAACATGCAGGAAACACTGGTTGCTGTCTCATGGACATTCACTGATTTTAAACATGAGAATCCAGTAGTCTGTCATTATTGTGTTGGCAAGGGCTGTTTTTATTTAGATGGCTGATTACATGATTAGTTAAATATTAGAAAATCAATCATTTTTAAATAAAAATGTGTAGGATTATTTGCTACTGATTAAAGAAAACAAGCAAACTGGGGCGTCAGTGGCTTAGTGGTAGAGCAGGCGCCCCATGTACAAGGCTGTTCCCGCTGCGGCCCGGGTTCGAATCCAGCCTGTGGCCCTTTGCTGCATGTCATCCCCTCTCTCTCTCTCTCCCCCCTTCACGCTTACCTGTCCTGTCCAATAAAGGCAAAATGCCCTAAAAAAAAATCTTAAAAGAAAAAAAAAAACAAGCAAACTGAAGACATGGACATCTTTCACAGCAGACATTTTGACTTGTCATAGCAGGAAAAGCACAGGTGAAATTCATAACATTACATGGCTCAGTTCCATTAAGTGTCCCAGTAAGCTATTCCAATGAGCCAGCATGGGCAATACCAAGGCCTCCCCTAAGTGGTATGCGGCTCACATTAATGTTATTGAATACATCTCTGCTTCACCTACTGTGACATGTCAAAACTGCTGTGAAAAAGGTGTATTGGTTTAATAATAATGTCTAGTGGCCTTCTTTTAATGTTTTGACAATTTGCAGATAAAAGCAGACAAATGAGAAGTGCTGGCTGGAGAATTTGAGCTAAAATGTTGTCACCGAAAAAGTAAAATTTCAAAATGTAAAATTTGTAAATTGGCCAGCTATGAAACAGTATCTGATTTTGTGTGGATTTGATGTCTTGCTCAAGTAGACTACAGCAGGGTTATTCAGTTTCAGAATCCTGTATTGCCAGCTAGGTTTTAAAGTTCAAGGACTTTACTTGGTGAATTGGTGCATAACGTAGTAAGAGAAAGTGAAATTAAAAATAAAGCAAGTACTGCAAAAATCAAGAAACATACAGAATAGAAAAGAATTACCATTAAAAAATATGAAAAAATACTATAAAGATATGTACAATAATGAAAATGAAAGAGTTGTGCAGTTTTTTTTTGCAAGTGGTATGTTGTGCAGAAATGTGCAAAATGATCCAAGGAATGAGCAGAGGTTCACAGTACAAAGTGTAAAAAGGAGTATGCAGTGCACAGTGTCACACCTGTATATATGTGTTACATATGTAACACAGTTACATTAATGTAATGTGTGCAGTGTTTATATACCCCTTATTTGCCAATGTTTAAAAACGTAAATAACCAGATCAAACGTGAATTGTCTACAGCAGTACACATGCAAAATAGATCAAAAGGCCTTTTTTTTGTCATCCAGTGCAACCATGGATAATATTGCTATTAACACTGGGTGACATTAAATTCCAGGTGGTCATGGATTTCATGTCTGTGTGAGAGGAGCAGCTCTCGGTAGACTCTGGTGGGTGCTAGCCATCTTGTCATTTTCAGTCAGTGCATTGCTCGCTCTCACTTCTCATTTCCTTAATGGTGAGCTAGTGGAGACTCTCACGGTGGTACAGGCAAGAAATGAGAGCAGTGGCGCACTAATACAGGCCCTTTGATGAGGAAGTAATGGAGTGTTCAGAGACAGACACCTGTGCCTTTGCAGCCACCCCCTCTCTCTCTCTCTGTCTCTCTCTCTCTCTGTGTGTGTCTCTGTCTCTGTGTCTGTCTGTCTCTCTACGCACACATACACACACTTTTTTTCTGCACTCATTTCCTTTCACCAGCTCTGCTACTCCCCTCCCCTTCCTCTTCTCCCCTCCCCTCCTCTTCCTCTTCCCTCCCTCGTCCGGCCTTAAAGGAAGCCACTCCCCTTCATACAGAGCTGCCAGGCTTGTTTGCATATTAACTGTTTAGTGACCAAGGAGCAGTGGCTTCACGGCATGTGACCGTTGAAGCATGTGTATGTTGTTGACTGTCATTCTCTTTTTTTCCGTCCTTCTTTGCTCTCGTTTTGACACACATACAAATCTTTTCAGTGAAGGAAAAATGTTTCATTGTCACTAACAGCCACATGTGGTAACTGAATTTCGCTGTTTCTAAATAAGCAGTATTTCAGACTCAGTGTCTGTCACCTCTTACCTATTTTACCTATCAAATAATCTGTTAGCTACTGTAATTTATTTGGATTGTAGATAGCAGTTGTTATTTGGTTTTCCTTTAAGCATCACTCCTTTTTCCACTTTCACAGTGGAGAGGCTGTTCTGTGTTGTTGCAAGTGCAGGAGGCTGCATATTTCTGTACACTTAAGGCAGATGCAGAAATTAAGGACACAGTTTTGTTGTCATTTAGTGTGTGACTGTTTAGTAGAGGAAATTTTTTTGTTTATTTATGCTCATAGGAGTTTTAACACCCATTACACCGTTGATGTGTTTATAGTTAAAGCTCAGCCCCAACTGCTGTACCCTGGTGGGCATTATCTGACAGAGGATTTGTTTAGCTTGGAGAGGACCCTGTTGCTCAGCTCCCAGTAAGCATGTTGTCTGCTGTAAAGTCCAAACTCCAAGGCCTGGCATGGCAGGTGGATCTGATGCTTGCTGTTGCTGCTGCTGGTGCACACACTGGTAAAAGGACAGATCTGTCTCTGTCAGAGATACACAGCTGTAAAATGTAAAACTGCAAAACCCACAGAGAGATAGTGCTGCTGTCTTACCTGGTCATCTCACCGATCTTATAACCTCCCCCTTCTCTACTTACACACACATTGACTCACACACACATTTAGAATAAGGCTGCACACACCATTCCAGTTGGTCAGATGCATAACTTTATTTAGGTTCAACATGCAATGTAAAGCCATATTGTGTTGGAGCATACACATGCTCACCCACATATTTCACACCATACTCACAACAAGTGGGTTACTTTGCTTTGGGTTGAGAGGGATCAGAATGGAACAACATGATGAAATATAATACAAAAGAACTTTTATGGGACATGCTTGCACCAAAACCTTAAAAAGTCACATTTGAGTTTGTGCCTGGAGGTCAGGCTCGTGTCACAGACGCACAGAGTTCCTTGGAAATCCAGTATGAGCGCTTTTCCAAGTATTGTGTAAGATCTTAGATGTTGTCCTACTGTGTGTGTTGTATTTACAAATCCCTTTATAGCCTGTAGTAGTCTAAACCTGTCAGAAAATATGTATTGACATATGCTGTTCCAAAGATGTGGTGTCAAAAGCACACCCCTGTCTTGCCCCAGGTATGGGGATGGTAGCCCTGATAGCACTGGGCAGCTCACATACCAATGTGTGCAGCTGCGTGAACAGTGAACAGGGTGTTGGCTGAGAAACAAGTCTGTTTGGCTGATTTTGCACAGTAAATAAAGATTTAAAAGCTGACGGGGTAACTGTCAGTAACTCAGGCCTGACCCAGTAGTGCAGTGCACTGTACCTGGCCTCACGCCAGCCGTGTGTCTCTGCATAATTCCCAATACCATGTGCCAGCCGGTGCACATGGCCCCTGCATCATGCTGTCAGGAGTCCTCTGAACGGCTCGCTCCTCCTAGATCTGTTCTGGCGCACAGGAAGAGCCGCATGTCTTGGATACTTCCCAGTTTCCCCTGTTGGAATTTTTTTTCCGAGAGTCATAGCAGGGTGACCAGGCCTTGACCTCGCAAGTGCATGAACTCACCACTGGAGACTCAGTGCAGTGCTGGCTGCATGTGTCTGGTATGGTCAGAGAATCTGCTTGATACTGTGTCCATTTGTTGATATTGTGTATATTTTTAGCCTTTGGGAATTTGTTAATGTGTTTGTTGCTGCAGACTTTCTGTATGATGCTGTTCCATAAATAAATCAGCATGTCATTGGCAGTAACCTACATGGGGACAAAAAAAGCTACGTTGTTGACAATCTGTGGTGTGGGCGAAATCCAGTACTTCGGGGGTTAAGTTGTGAAAGTTAATGTAATAACTGCTAGCACCATCTGCTGGCCTACTTCCTTACAAAGAGAGAGAGAGTGAGTGAGCGAGAGAGAGAGAGAGAGAGGGAAAAACGAGTCTGGGTTTTAACGACATCTCTAATATTCATGCTGATGCATTTTGCTGCTTTGTGCTTTCATTTTCCGCCGCTCTGCCTGCCAGAGTCTCGAGCTCGCCATACACGCCCCAGCCAGGGAGAGGGGAGGGCAGCGAGGGAGAACGAGGAAAAAGACAAGTGGGGGAAAAGGAGGAAAAAACAACCGGCCAAACAAGCAAGCAAGCTAACACAAAAGCCTTTTTGTGTGTAATAAAAGGAGTAACCTACCTTGTCCTGGCTGGTGAAGAGCACGAGGAGAGGCGCAAAAAGGGAAACAGCACAGCGGAAAGAGCAAGAAAGAAGGAGAAATAAGAGGGAGAAAGCTCAGAGAGGTACAGAGAGGTACAGAGAGCACACACACGAAAGGCAGGCGGAAAGAGGAATCAATGAGAGGGGAGGAGAGAGGAGCCAGGGGAAGGCAACTCTGACACACACGCACGCAGAGAGAGTGAGGGAGACTTGGGTGAAGCCGGACGACAGCGAAGCAGCACGCAGCAGCAGAATGAGAGCTTCCTGGACTGCCACGCACCTCCTCTACCGCCCACAGCGCTGCTCCCTCATCACCCTGTGAAGAGACAAACGAGGGTGAGGGAGAGTGAGAGAGAGAGCTCCCATGCGCTCCTCTTGAGCCCTGCCCGCTGGGGGAGGAGGAGACGAACGGCTCCAGCGCTCTCGCACTGCCTGAGGAGAAGAGCTGACCGGGGAGGAGGAGGGGAGGCAAAACGAGGAGAGAGGGAGGGGAGGGGGGGACACACGGCTCAAGGAAGAGTGAGAGAAAACGACTGTTGAAAGGGAAAGAGTGAGTGTGTTTGTAAGAGAAAGCGTGAGCGAGCAACGGAGGGAGAGAGAAAAAAAACCCGGCGAAAGGGCAAGGCTTTTGTTAGCCGGTTGGAGAGGGGGAGGAAAGAGGAAGAAAAAAAACCCACCATGTCTACAGTGAAGAGGCCAAGAGGAAGGGTAAGTGAGCTGCTCTGAGAGCTGGGAGGGAGGAGGGACGAGGGGGAGGAGGAGGGGCCGGCAGGAACTGAACAACCTCCTCTGCTACTGGCTCATGCTGCACTGCCGCCATCTTGAACTCATTGCTGCTTTATTTTCCTCCCCTTCATACTCATTTGCTTTGCTGTGCTAGACCTTATCAAGGCACACTGGATTTACAGTGTTTTCCTTTCCCCACCCCCACTGGCTGTTCATTCCATACATCTCTTTCCCACCCTCTCGCCAAGCTGCCCTCTGTGCTGTAGATTATGTACAGTGTATGATGTGTGTGTGTGCGTGTGTTTGTGTATGTGTGTGTGTGTCCTCCATGAGTTGAACCTGTCAGTCACCAGAGTGCTCACTACATGTGGAAATGAGGGGGTGAGAGCGAGGGAGAGCTGGCCGGCCCAAATGGAGCTTACTCTACCTTTTCATGGGCTGTAATGGTCCCCACCGTTTTCATGGGACTACGTGCTGCTAGAGAGATTGAAATCACTGCAGTGCTGGCAGGCTGTAATTTCAGTTATTTATAGATGTATTACACAGCTGCAGTGCTCCCAGTTTTGGTGCATTTTATCTTTTCTCTCCCTCTCTCTCTCTCCGTCTCTCTGATAGAAGCCTGTTTTCATATTTTTGCTGCTTCTTTCATGTGCCCTCATGTTCTTCCGCTCTTAAGCGTTACTTTCAACCCCTCCCCCCTCTCTTTTTTTACCATTAACTTGAATGAGAACATTCCAGCATGATCCAGTAAATTTCTTCCTAATAGCCTCAGCAGCGTTGCACACGTGAAAATCATAATGCAGCTCTTGTGTGTACGTGTGTGTGTGCGTGTGTGTTTTTCCCCCTTCCTTCCAAATGAATCGCTAGTTATTCAACTCCCTCCCCCCACTTTGTTGGCAAGGTTCAAGCTAATTCTCTTTATTTAGCTAGCAGTGTGGAAAAAAAAAAAAAAAAAGCAACCGGCCGCGCCTGGGCCATGTAGGCAAACGCAACACATTTTTAGATTAGGTCATCCATTTATGGGTTCCCTCTCCGCTGGGCTCAAGGCCCACCACAAGGCGCTTGTGTAGGCATAACCGCAGTCACACCATCTATTATTCACGTATTATCATGTATCAGCCAGGCTGGATAATTTATGTCTGAAAGGCTCACTGTAACCTGCTACATTGAGCCAGTGTTTACCCCACCTTTGAAGGGCTTACTCCACCTTAAAGAATTCCATTTGTATCAGGCTCGGAGAGTTTTCATGTCACATGGTTTCAGAGTTTCAGACTCTCCTTCACCTGATCTGGAAGAATTCTTGGGGGAAGCACTGGCCTTTCTCATGCTGAAGGTGTGCTGATAGAAATAGGAGGCTGAGCATTAAAGTGCGCATCATGTAGAGCTAGACAGGTCCCCCTTCCACCCCCAGCACCTGAGATGGGGGACAGCAACAATCTCTGCTGTCTGAGAGGTTCACACCACCTCCAGAAGATTATTTTCTAAATGAGTGAACGTGTGCAGTCACATCGCAGCGTTACAGTATATTGTAATTTCATAAAGGGGTTGCAGTGGTTTATAGTATTTTTTTTTTTTCTCCCTCTAAGCCTGTGTTTCATATTTGATTATCACATTCACGCTCTGCTCATTGTACAGTGAAATGGCATCTCAGTGTGCTGGCACCATTTTCTGTAAAGGTTTGGTGGTATTACTCATCTGTTAGCTGAGCTGTACGACTCTATAATGGCCTCATACGGTCATATCAGCCGTAAATAACAACCTTGTTTTATATGGCTGTTAATTCTAATATCATTACTTGTTGTATGTTACAAAACATGAAGACATGTTTACACTCTGCTAATCTTTTTATACAGAAATATACAAATCCGGCTAGAAAATGGCTTACAGAGCTTAAAGCCCCTTGAGTCAGATTTGTGATATTGGGCTATATAAATAAAATTGCTTTGACTTGACTTAATTGGTACCTGTATATATGGAGACATGCAGAATGAATAGTTTGTTGAACATAATGTACCTGTGCATGTAGCATCTGATTGGCTGCAGAAGCTATAATTTGCTTCAGAATGAGTTCACACAGATAGTTTTGTCTTGTGTGCCCTTTTTTAGTTAGTGAATCTGCTTTGTACAACATTAGCTGTAGTCACTCTGCTCTGCTTCAAAGGTCAGGTGTCAACGTCATGAGTTTGTGTTTGTGTCATCTATGATAGATGACATCAGGTCTGCAGTGTTTGCCTTAAAGAGATCATAATTCTAAAAAACTCTTTTATTTATCTCCCTCTTTCCTCAGCCTCGAAAGAACGCTAATGGTCCCAGTAGCCAGGTACGGGTCCTCAGTCCCCCATTGAAGAGCAGCTCGTCGTCCTCCTCCTCTTCCTCATCGTCCTCATCCTCATCCAGCTCCCCATCGGAGAAGAGGACGCCACGGAGGACGCATCATCAGATGGAGTCAACCTCACAGGACAAGCAGGAGAAGGCCAATAGGATAATATCAGAGGCTATTGCAAAGGCCCGGCAGCGTGGGGAGAAGAATATTCCCAGAGTCATGAGCCCTGAGAGCTTCCCCAGCTCTTCTTCACAGTACAAGCACCGTAAGCGTGAGCACAAAGGAAGCGGCAAAGCACGGCCTAAGGAGAAGGACTGCAGGAAGGCCTGTATTGTACCCTCTTCCAAGCCCAAGCAGAAGGCCAAGATTGGGTATGTAGTCCCAGCCGTTAATACTGTGATAAATGCACCTTCATTTGTTAAAATAATCCTGTAAGTAGAGCTTTGATCAGGTCCTACTCTACCCAAAGCTATGCTGAATTTCTTTTAACAAATCCAGAGCATAAACACTGCAGCATTTAATGAGCCCAAATGAACAAGTGAAAATTCCACTGCAGTGGGTAAACACCCTGTCACTGTGCTACCATACTTAAAGAGATATATGCATATTTGACCCAGAAATAGAGCTGTGATAAACAATTATTCAGAACAAGCTAATGTACTGGTAATATTTTTTATTCATTTTTTTTTTAAATTGAAGAGTATGAAAATTATAGTGACACAAATGGACACAAAATCCAGGTATTCACTTGACATTGATATAAATCTATATCAATGCAAATGGTGGGGAAATGCAGCAAAGCGGTTGATTTATTTTCTCATCATCAAATAATGAACATAATTTCACTAGTATTTTGTCATCACTGAAAAGAAATTTTGTGTTTTCACTGCAGATTTTCCCCTCTGTAAGGACATAATGATTCTCTCATATCCTCTTCACTTCTTCAGTTTTCTAGTTAATGTGCCTAACCTGATAAATATTACAGTGTACTGGCAGAACCAGATATGCAGATGTGTGATGTTAACACCACTGCACCCACATGCTCTGATTTAGGTGAAGATAACTAACAAATAGAACGACACCTGATCGTATAAGCTTGAAGGGGAGGGCAGTTGACATTTTTTTAGATGTAAGATGGTATGACGTTTGTTTATCTTAAGAGTCCAAATCTGCTGCTGTTCATTTATATCTGACAAGCTGCTGAATGGCAAGGTCATCGCTCTCCACATGATCTATTGATAGCACTGTAAAGTCAAATCTGAATCCTACTGTTCTCTGTTCTATCTTGAGTCCAAGTTGAGTCTATTGTGTTTAAGCTGAGAGCTCTATTACTCGGTAGTTAAAATAACATTGTTAGGAGGATGCTCTTATTAAACACTGCATACATTTCATTATGTTTGGATTGATCACTTATACCTGCTGTCTGAACTGTTACTGCCCGTTTTACTGATGTAACCTGCTTGTGTACGGGTGGATTTTGCTGGTACATTGTTTTACTAGCGTACATTTTCTGCCTGTGGTTGCCAAGATGGAAGCTCAAAGTTCAACAGAATTTACAGCACGCCATAACAATAAACCAGGCTCAGTCATCAGCATAGACATGGGAGGAGCAAACAAAGGCTGCATTTACATGTGAGACAGTGCTGCCGAGTATAATCATGCAAGTAGTGCTGATGTATAGATACTGTGATCCGCCTCCCATCCCCCTGTTTAACTGCTATAAGCAGTGTGTAGCTATAAGCCACACCCAACACAAGCTATTGAAATATCAGCTGGTGCAGATGTGAGGGCCGAGGCAGGGAGCTGAAGGAAAAAAGGGGGATGTTTAGATTCGGTAATGTCAGATTGTGTGCTGCTAGTGTTATTAGTTTCTGCCATGATTGAGAAGGCGTGTGTTTTTTTTTAGACTTAGCGTGAGAGTGACTGACAATGGTCAACAATAATATCTGGCTGGCAGCTGTGTTGATTAATAATTAGATGAGCTAGGCGTGGGGAGAAAAGCTGTTGCAGATAATGGATTTTACTTGGTGTGTGTGTGAGTGTGTGATAATGAGAAAGTTGTGGCAGTGCTGATGTTTGGGAACATAGTGAGATGATGGAGGAATCAGTCATAGTGATACAGTCCCACTGGCTTTCCAGCGTTAGTTGGATGTACATGCCTGGTGATGCTGACGGTAACTCAGGCCACTTTCTATGTGGCTGTAGTGCTGTTTATCAAACTAGATTGTTGTGGTGTGAGTTGCAGAGTGTTGGAGATATCAGCCATAGAGATGTCTGCGTTTTCTCAAATATAGTGGAACTAGATGGCACTCGGCTTGTGGTGCCCAAAGTGCCAAAAAATGCATTTGAAGAACCCAACAGCATCGTCTCTTTCCAGAAATGATGACCCAATTATTCAAGATAATCCACAGACCTTGCTGTGAGCAGTTTATATAGGAATTGTTTTCTTTCTACTGAACTACACTAACAAACAGTATCACGGCGCAGACGGAAGTGTGCAGCTAATGGCGTCCTCCACGGCTGAGCTGTAACGTAAGCTAGCTTGGTGCTGCAAGGTGAGCTAGCAGTAGATGCACACTTCCCTCTGCGCAGTAATAGTATTGGCAGGTGTAGTAGAAAGAAAATAGTTCCTATATGAGACAGCTCACAAAAAGGTCTGTGGATTATCTTGAGTAACTGGGTCATGATTTCTGGAAAGAGACATTGTTGTTGAGTTTCTGGTGCCTTGAGCACCACAAGCTGAGTGCCATCTAGTTCCATTATATTTGAGAGAATGCAGACACCTCCAAGGCTGATATCTCCATAATCATTAGTTTGATAAATAGCACTGCAGATCAGAGGAAAAAAATTTTTTTTTTTATACAGTATTGTTGATCTGGTGTGCATCATTGAACATGCTCACTTTTAGTCATTGAATGGAGCTCAGTTTGATCATGTGATTTAAGTTTGAGACAGAACACTTTAGAGAACAGGAAACTAAACTCTACCTTGGTTGGTAAGTGCAAAACCAGATCCTTTTTCCTTCTTAACCACCTTGTAGTCGTTGAGACACAGCTGATGAAACCATCAGCATTTAATCAAATGCAATCCAAGACTTGCTTGTCTTGAAGGGCAGCTGACAATTGGTCTGCAGTCTGTCATTCAAAGTGTTTCGGATAACGATCAGGGCAACGAGCTGTGTAACCCCATAGTGTAGCCATACTTGGCCTACATGCAGAAAAAAGCATGAGAAGCAATGAGATTATGGTGCATGCGACGTAGTCTGCTTATGGAGCATAATATTGTCTCAATAGTCTTTTTATAGCATTCATTACATCATGCATTCCAGCCATTTTGAAACCTAACAATCTTACAGAAACTTTTAAATATTCCATGACCTTTTATACTCTCTTGATAGCTTTGTTCCTGTATTTGTTTAGTTTCTAAACCAACTCAAGTGAAGTTTCTCAACACAGACAAATGCTTTCTGTCTGTAGAGTTTGGTATTAATGCCACTGTGCTGCGTTTTATAAACCTCTTTCAAGCACAGTAACTTTGGGATGCATTTGAACTTGTAACAAAGTACATTTTTTAAGCTGTACTTTCAGTGCTCTTTGTACTGTGTTGATGTTTTATATGCTCACAGTTGATACTACGCCTTGAAAAAATATAATTTCAGAATCTTGCATGTAGTAAAATTGGTTAAGGCCACTTTACAAGGCTTTTAAAGCTCAGTTACCTCCTCCAATTTTGCCATGGCAAGTAATATTTCAAGATTGCAAGGAGCCTGCAGAAAACCATCACCATCAGCCATCACCATTTACATCATCTTAACTGACGTTCAGACCAGTCAGGATTTGACAACATGGGCACCCACTAGCTCACCTGGTAGAGCAGGCGCCCCATGTACAAAGGTTGCATCCCTTCTGCACAGTTGTCCTATCAAAAAGAGAAAAGGACTCAGGACACATCTGAATGTGACCCTGTAGTTTGTCCTGCTTAATGAAATCTGAAAGCTGCGACGCTGTGACCTAATCTTCAGTGGTTCCATGATCTGTGATGCAGAATCGTTTCACAGTCCTTTAAGATGTGGCCGCAGTAATCATTTACAGTTGTAGCACTTTCTTTGTGTCCCTCTCCCTTTGTTTTAATTGAGAAAAGAAGTTCAGATGTACAAGGCCCTCTTTTTTGCAAATGTGGCAGTAACGTATAACTCTGTCTGTATATGAGAAGAGGCTTGTGGGAGTGTGTGAACATTTCATCCGAGGTGTGAAGATTCATAGCTAGGAAAATCCTAATGCTAGTAAAGCTTTTACTTTTATCTTATTAGAAACGGCACATTAAAGGCAAAACAGACGATTTGTAATGGAGTTTATGAAGCTTGAGGCCTTGATAACCAACACAACTTTGACTTTGGAAATATACTTACAGGAGTGGAATGCCATTTCTCTTTTATTAGAAAGAAAAAGATTAAGATAATAAATCTACTCATATCATGTTCCTGAAAGGACAGTAACAAATCCAGCCAATCCAGTTTTACCGAGGCAGGTCTAGGCCTTGAATCATGAGAACTTAGAGCATGAACATTCACATGCTCACGGCGCTGTAATGTAAACATGAGAACTAAAACATAAATACTACTGTATTGGCCTGAACACCCAGATGAGCTCATTATACTCCCTCTTTTTCAACAGTTGCTTTGACTTTTTTATCAGTTATAAAAAAACTTGATGAAACAAAGTAGGCAGATGTACCATTTATAACATCAGTAAAATGTATTGCTTCTGTTTAAATAAAACTACAGTATATGCATAAAGCAGATGACTCCTGAAGGTGAAATTGGGCCTTTGGGACATGCACACCATGCATTGTTCCTCTTGTGGTGACTGCATGTGGACACAAGACAGACAGGAGGAAGCTTGCTAGCCTAGCAGAACAAACAAGCTGTAATATAACACTGCCTTAGTTGTAACAGGTGAAACAAGCAACAGTAGCTCACTCTGGTCAAAAGGGAACATGAGAATTTGTTAACATGATTACAGGACAGTGTTTTTTTTCCATATAAAATTTTAAAGTTTGAACAGGCTCAGTTGGACGTTTAGTGTGACAGCGGAAGCTGACTGTACGAAAGGGTAGCGCAAAAGTCAAGAGCGATCCCACAGCAAAACTTGGGGACCAAAATGAACCTCAACAAACCTCGACTTGAAGCAATCTCGGTCAACTGAGGGGCCTCCAACCAATGATTAGAATCTCTTAGAGATTAGAGTCTTTCAAGGGCAGCCCTAAAGACAATTGTGTTTTTCAAACATAATGTCCAAAAAGGTTTGAGTGTTTTTGCACTGTGAGTGTGCTGCCATGTTTTATGTTTCAAACTCTACCTTGGACTGCACAT